GTGGGCATTCAGGAGGTGTCAGTGTGGTGCTACGCTCCCCTTCCTTGACGTCTTGAGATTGAGTTGGTCCAAAATCCTGCAAATTGGAAAGGCAGACTAATAGGGTCAAGAGTGAAGAAGTACATGGATGGGGAGAGCTGGACACAAACCATTTCATTTGAATCCTCCTCTCTGCTATTTGTTGTTGTCGAGCGTTGAACTTTCGGCTGTGCCGAATCTTTTAAAACTTCCGTTATATCCGCGTCCTCCTCCATCTTGGCGTCAAGATTGTCGGCGTAATGGGTCGAGGTTTCCGAAATTATTTGTGGCGGTGTCGCTTCAGAAAGAGTCTTGTCAAGATCCTCTTCAAAGTCACTTACATGCGGCTAAAGGAGGCAAATATCGTGCATTTTTGCATTCATGAGTTAATGGGAGATTGGTAGGTGTGATTTTACCTGGACACCTTTATCTTCACCTCCAACAGCGTAGCTTATTGCCATTGTTTCGAGTTCACTCTCCTCACTCTTGTTTTCCGAGCAAGTTGTGGTTTTCGGTGGAGAGGAAATGATATCGCTTGTTTTTTCGCACTCTTCTCGGCCCTTCTTCCCAACTTTCTCATCCTTTCGGCTGCGTGCCCCCATCGATGCAACTGTTTTCCACCCATCGTGATTCTTAAAAGAAGGCAACCAGGAAGATTATGAGTTCATCAACGTCATTTTTTCATATTCTGCTCTACTTCTGCCTTCTCATAATGATCAAACAAAAGTGCATGGAAAATCTTATCGAACTTCATTTTCCAGTGCCTGTAAGTAAGTTTACCGAGGAAGGGAGAGGGAGCAAGTAGACGCATGGACCGACACAGGACTGGGTAGATGAGTGAAACGATGGATGCAGGATGGATAGCACTTTTCTGAGTGTGAGAATGAAAAATGATTGCATGACTACTGGTTGATCTCGCAAAAAGAATTGTAAAATGAAGTTGAGTGGATGTATGTTGGGAGAGGGAAGAATCGCAGAATAGGTGGAATCGCTGTTGCACAAATGCGTGTTTAAATGTCTAGGCAGATCTACATGCTACAGGCGGTCACATTCTGGCACAAATTCACCATCCGCTTACTTTCCTCATGCTTTTTTATTCAAAAAAATTCCTATGCCTTGACTTCAGCAATTTCTCATCATGGGAATTTTGTTTTCAAGTGGATAATAAGTGTTTTGGAGATGTTATGGAACCTGAAATGCTTACCGAATCGTCTGTTGAAGCCTCAGAAATCACAGACAAATGCGGACTCTCTGGACGCTCTACAAGAGGACCCAAATTCACGGGATCCTCTTTGGCCTACAACCCAAAAAGACGAAATAAAAAGAGCTATTGTTCAAAACAAATATTTTGTCACCGCAAAACATTCACATATAAACTCGCTTCCAGTTTGCCATCATTTTACCCAAATCAAGCGAAAATTCGCATTTCAGAATATTAACAAAATGAAGGTCTTTAGAGTTGTTAAAAATGCGGTGCTCATCAGTTTATGCTGCAAATTGCTGGCAGCTTCGCCTTGACACTCTCATGAAAGATACGCTTACCCTCAAAACCCCGTGTTTAATGCCGAATAAGAGAGTTTTCCGGGCTTATAGCATCAACTAAACCATTTTTAAGACCTCCACTAAATGGTGCATCATGGAAACATGTCCAAACGGACGAGCATTTAGGAAGGTGTCAGACAGTTTCACTGAGGATGTTGGCACTTAAGGGGAAACCGAGCAGAAAGCGTTGATGAAAAGCGGGAAGAGTAAGAGGGGAAGAAGAAGAAGAAGAAGAAGAAGAATTACCTCCAAAACTAAGCGGGTCTTTGTGCCCCCCGAAAAAATGGAATAACAAGTTTCATGGGCTGGAATTTCGTGATTTTTTCTTAGCCATCCATCCTCCCCGAGACTCGACTCCTTAAAGAAAACAAAGACGCTATACTCTGCCCAAGCGGACAGAACGAACATTTACCCCAAAAAGACGAGTGAATTGGAAAGAAAAAAATGATTAGGAGTTGGACAAGAACTAAAAAGATCATTTTACATGATGAGAAGAGTACTCATTACGCTAACTTAAGCAAATCAAAGTATAATAGTAGAGCAGACAAAAGGAAGGTGGACAATGAGGCTTACCATCTCCTGAACACCCGAACCAGTCAATGGATCA